TCTGAGAAGTTTTCCATGAAAAAAGTGTTAAGGTCAAGAACAGACAGAGGCTTCTATAAGAACAGATGCTGCATCTTCAAGCATGAGATTGCAACTAAATTAGGAGATGAAAGGGAAATAAAATTGCTTTTGATTTTCTTTTTGTGTTTTGGAGACTTTTTTTCCCCACTTCTTTTACCAAATGATAGGAAAATTTAGGCTCTGAAACTAATTCATTTAAAAGATAAAAAAAAGGGCACCCTTACTTCCACTACTCTCTTTTGCCTGTTTACTAAGTGAAAGAGGAGGTGGGAGTGATATAAGGAAGGAACAGGTCAGTGGAAAAACTGTAAACAGGGGGAAGATAGCAGTGCATTGGCATTTCAGGAACAGCAGGCAGTAAAGGATCAGAATAAAAATTGAAGGGTGATCCAAAAAAGGGCAACTGTGAGTGAGAAAATAAAAACCCTGTAGTATGTGATGGAGCTTGAGAGGAGCAGTCTGTGCACAATTAGGAACAGTCACATACTGAGGTGACATAGGCCAAGGAACTGAATTTGAGCAAAACATCAAACAGATACACTGAAACCATTCACCAGCAGCTGTATTCTGTTAACTCTTAAGTAAGCCCGAGGTTAGGGAAAAAAGTGGGGAAAGGGATTTGAGAGATTTTTTTGGGGTAAACTGATGCAGTACAACAAGGTATAGGGGAAGAAAATTGCAGCCAGCTGCTTAACAGAAAATAGTCTTTGCCTAAGCCCAGGGCTTTCTGCCTGCTGCCATTTCAAAAATATCTTATGGTACCATGTCTCATCTGATCTTGTCAGGGACATGGTTTTTCTAGCATTCCAGCATCCCCTGAATTTGACGTGGTGCTAGAAAGAACTCTGATGAACCTAAGCTGTATTACTATCTTCACTTCTCTTTTTTTAAAAAAAAAAAAAAAAAAAAAAAAAAAAAAAATCACATTCTCATGCTAGTCTCATTTTGGAGAAACACAGAACCAAAATATTCAGTAAAATATCAAACAGCTGTCCAAGTCCAATTTAAATATCACAATACCATTGGGTCCCATGAGACTGCTCAGGGCGAATACTTAACTTCAGGCTGAAGTTTTCCATGAATTACGGACCACCACAATTTTGATCCTCTCTCCACTTAAATATTGAAGAGAATATAGTATAGGCCCCAAGAGCAGGCATCAGAGGAAAATTCAAGTAGCTCAGAGAAACATGCAGAGCCATGGCGTTTCTTTTGTTAATTTTATGTTTAATGATTCATAACAGGAATATCTTTCTATGTCAAAATGAAAGGCTTCCTGGGTTTGATACTATGTGAAAACCCTACCTGAAGTTTGGAGTTAAACGCAACTGTGGTACTGTAGCTATTGGAACTGTTACAAAATGGAGATACAGACAGAAGAGAGTATTCTAAATATTTGGCTAAAAGATACAATGAAATTGTGACTATAGCCTGAGGGACAAAAGGAAATTTCTGGTTTTAAAATGAAAATACACAATGTTAATATAGTGCAACCTTTTTGCTGTAGAATCTATTAAATCCCCTAGTACAACTGTTTTACTCTAGTATTTTGTTTTTTACAATTAAGAATGTAACCTTTTTACAGGAGATTTAAAAAGTTAAGTCTTGTTGTTCTAAAGTAAAGGCATGCTGCAGGTTACAATATATCCTTTCAGACAGTGATTAACTTCAGTGCACTTTTAAGTGAGGTTACAGGCTAAACACAAAAAGTTGTACTATTTTAAAAATGCAAAATATATGATTGCTAGATACATATTTTTTAAAATGTGATTAACATTCTTCATAAAAAGTCAAGAACAAGACCATAAACTGATATGTCTGCAAGATATATTAAAACTTGTTTACCAAATCTACCAAATCAATGCAAAAATACATTATCTTCTCTAAATAAAAAAAACCCCACAACACTACAATGCGGTTTACATTCTCTAACTTCTGAAACACAAAAATTACAGAAGTTATTGTGACGCTTGTGCCATCAGACATATAAACAAGTTCCACCATCACTATTTGAACTATGCTAAGTCTCATCTAATTCTGCTTAAAACAATAACACAATGAAAAATGGCATCCCACTGGACCGTCTGACAAAGTCCTTGCTCCTTAAACTACTAAATACTAGAAGGCAGTGATTTTTGGGTATCTTGAGGCAAAGTACAGTTGAAAACAGTAATTCTCTAAGTTTCAAGCAAAGTAGTTTGCCTGTGTGGTGGGTTGACTCTAGCTGGACACCAGGTGCCCACCAAAGCCACTCTATCACTCCCCTCCTCAGCTTGACAGAGGAGAGAAAATATAACGAAAGCCTCATGGTTCAAGATATGGAAATAGATCACTCACTAGTTTCTGTCATGGGTAAACAGACTTGACTTGGGGAAATTAGTTTAGTTTATTACCAATCAAATCAGAGTAGGATAATGAGAAATACAAACCAAGTCTTAAAGACACCTTCCCCCACCCCTCCCTTCTTCAGCTTAACTTTACTCACAATTTTCTCTACCTCCTCCACCCAGTGGCACAGAGGTGGGGAATGGGGGTTGCAGTCACTTCATCACACATTGTCTGTGCTGCTCCTTCCTTCTCACAGGAAGGACTCCTCACATTTCCCCCGCTCCAGCATGGGGCCCCTCTCATGGAAGACAGTCCTCTACAAACTTCTTCAGTGAGTTCTCCCCATGGGCTTCATAAACTACTCCAGTGTAGGTCCCTTTCATGGGGTGCAGTCCTTCAGGAACAGACAGCTCCAGTGTGGGTCCCCCGTAGGGTCCCAAGTCCTGTGAGAAAACCTGCTTCAGTGTGTGGGCTCCTACTCTTATGGGTAGATTTTTTGCTACATCAATGCTGGGATAGTACTGTCAACTAAAATTCACTAATAATAACCAAAGGCACTTGGACATATTACGAACAATAGAAATGGATAATATGGCCCAAATACTACACTACTTAAATACCACAGTCTACAGGACACTTTTGATACAAAAAAGTTAAAAAATATACCCAGTTACATGGGCAAAAAGGTCAGAAATCCTGCATATTTTAATTTCATTTAGAGTTCAGGCCAAATGACAATTTACCCAGAGATAAAGAGAATGAGTGTGGTGGTCTCATATATCTTTGCAAAAGAATGAAAGAACCAACAGAGATGCTGGCCCTCTACTTGTACCCTTACCAAGCCAAAGCTATCCAAAGCACCATCTCTACTTAAAAAAGGTAGGTTTTTTTAGTGTACTTGGGTCAGAAAGAATTTTGTATTTGCACAGACCAAAATGATAAAATAACCGTTTAGTAAAATTTACTCATATGAGTATGAAAGCCATGTAGGATGTCTAAGCAACAAGTTTTCACTGACTGAATGCTCTATTAGGTGGTGATAAAAAAGAGGCCATAATCATGTATTTAAAAATATATTAAATACTTTTCCTGTTTACACAAATTGAAGCAGCAAAATGAGCTACAAACAGAGCATCATGATGACTATGTACAATACAGGCACATATAATCTTCACTATATAGTTAGATCTGAATCTAGTATATTCCTTATATTCAATATTATTTTCCTACAGGACAAAGAACTCTGAAGTGACCTTTTGCATACTGTCAAGTGAATGATGTATTTCCATGCAGAATCATCTCTCTAGGATTTTGTTATTATAATTTTTATTCCTGGCATACTGCTAATCCCATTTCTTCAATCCTCTAGCAATTGATCATACGAAGGGTGAAGGCATAAACACACTTAGAGAACTGTGTTTCTATAGCAAATAAGGTGTTCTGTTTAGAATCAAGGTCAGTAGCAAGACTAAGACTAAGATAAGGAAGCAACAGTTTAAGAGCAAAGTGTTCCACCATTCAATACCATGGTTTTACCACACATACTTCTTTTCTAATATTTCCTTTTATCGCCATATATCAAATGGTTACTCAGGCACTGTGTCTCTAAGAATGACTTAAACTATTCCCCATTCATGCAGGGGTTTAGAAGTTACATACAGAATAAGTAAAGTGCTTTAATATAGCAGCAAAAACACATCAAACAGAAATTTAGACAGACATTCTTGAAACTAACCTGCACAGGATTACATTGCCACTGACAGAACCCAGCTGAGATTCATGCATTCAGGTACAGTCCCAAGGCTTCAGAGTTTGGTCTCCATTATGCTATTGAATCTAAACACCAAACCCAAGAAAAAGCACTACAGCTGTTTGGGAAACAAAAAGTCTGCCTCCACTAGCTGTTTCCCCAGTAAAAGCAGGCATTTACATTTGTGCAGCTTTAATTAAAGTTTAGAAAAAGACAGTACACAGGAGATTAAACACCTTATCAAGAGTGAGTTTACAGCCTAAATGGAGTTGTTCAAGTGATTGAATAGGAAGATTATGGTAGTTTCAGCTCAGCCAGAAAGGTTAACAACTCAGACAAGCCAGCAAGCAAGGAACATGAATGGGATGCAGCTTCCTTTCTGAAGTGTTACAGGCTTTCAAAAGAAAAAAAGAGCAATCAAGCTTTACTTGTCCAGTAAGTCTGCACAAATCTAAAGGACACATTCTTTACAGTGGTGTACAGCAGAAAGATAAGAGCCCATGAACATAAATGAAAGTTACAAAGGTTCACACTAGTTAAATGCTTAGGGGACAGGCATTGAAACAACTTTCCCAGGCCCATACATTCATTCTCCATTGTTTAAGGTTTAAAGACCAGACTCTGTGAACACCTAAGCACACTGCTGTGACTTTGCTTGGAGAAAGATGTTGGCTTAGAAGACATCCTAAGACCCCTTTTATCTAAATTACTTTAGGATCTTAAGCTAATTAAACTCAGTTTTAGCTTATGCCAAGCCTTACAGTGGTAATTTTAAATAAACCTTTAACATAGCAGGTACTAGAAGATAAAGTTGTTTTCAAATGTCAATGAAAGCATTTGAGTATAGTGTGGAACATATGTGAAGATTCATGTTCTCAAAAGCATACACCAACAACACACGTAAGATGCCCCAAAATATTTATTTATTTATCTCTTAAAAAGTATGTTACTCTTTAGAAAAAAAGCCTAAGAAATCTCAATTCAGATTAAAGTATATCAAATCCTGCACTTACTTAATTCTGATGTTTAAGTAAACATCAGTACCATCAAACCAAGCAAGATAAGACTTCTGAAGTCAGTAGCAATGAGGTACTGGGACAGAAGAAACCCTTAATACAAAGAGGTGCTTCAAAGCCTTTGAGCCAGGCAGAGACAGAGTTCTAGAATGCATTCAAGAACCATGAAATCTCTCTAATCCTTTTGATCTTCATTTGCTGCCAAAAATGCATGAGTGTTATAACAAAGAAACAAGCATCTCAGTATACAGTTACAAACTGGTAAGCCAGTTCATCAGTTCAAAGCAGGCAAAAGAGCACAGCACTGTTCTAAAACTGAAAGAGATAGAGCTTGGGGCAGGGGGTTGACAGGCTAGCATGAACCAGTTAAGCTATTTCCTTCAAGACGTTTCTCCTTCCTCATGGTATTCAGAACCATCTCAATACAGAAGAAAAAAAGAAGGAAGTTCATTATCACAGGACAGTAAGGTATGTACTTTTTGCATTCTTGGTAAAGTTTTCAGTGTTAGTGCATGAAAAAGTCACTGAATGTTTATTTCTGGATGTGCACACAGGTGAGGTTACCATAACTATGTGCCAGCAGTACAATTGTACCATTAATGTGTTTCACATGTAAAGTATTAGCTGAAAATATTCTGCCTTAAATGGCTGGAGATGCATTTTTGTTAGTATCTCTCCATGCCTTTCCCTTGTTAAATACAATAATTTAACCATCTTGGTTTTACTCAGTAGTAAAAGCCATCTATTCCACTCAGTCCTAGTGATCACAGTAGGAAAGATACCTCCCATCTGTCATTGGCCCCTTCAAGATTTCTAGGATGTTTCGGTCCAGGACAACTAGCAATGAGACAGACCCTCACGGTGGGGGATAATCAATAGGGACAATTGTGCAGGTGAGAAGGCTAAAGTGGGACATTACTGGTGACAAAGGAGAAGTTTACTTTAAAGGTGCAAGTGTCTATTCAGCTAAAACCTTGACAAGTGAGTCCTATTTGGAATGCAGCATATGTCATAGAAGCACTGAATGTTGTCTTTATTCCTTTTTAGGACTATAAACACTACCTTATGTTCTCAAGTAAGAAGATGCTAATCAGACTTAGATGCAGTCGCTTAAGCAAGTGGAATGAAAACGCACAAGATACACAGTTTCATGCTAAACAAGAATATGTAAACACCCAAACGAGTCACCAATTCAGATAGTACCAGACACCCCATATGGATTGTCACAACGCAGCACCACAGCAGCATTTTGATTTAAGGAACAGTCTTGCTGCTCATTCCATCACATTTACTTAATAGTGGTAACATTAGCAGCACTGTGATTTACTCTCTGCTTTCAATGGGTCTAGGTCCAGTTTTGGTTTCCCCACATCATTCTCTTCATTAGGAAAGGTTTTGTAGTTGGCAAGGATGTTTTCCACCAAGAATCGAGCAGCTTCGTCTATGTTGATGTTGTCCTAAAGATGTTAAAAGCAAAGAATTCAGTGATTTTTTTTGAAGTAGTCACACGTTCCTATTAAAAAGCTGTCCAAAAAGAAAAATTTCCCTTCAGTTTCATCAGCATGACAAACAGTTTAGATGCATCAGGTCATTGCTCTCACACTTTTTTTTTTTGAAAAAAGTTACCAGAAAGGTTTGAGACAAAACTACTCACTCATATTACAGATTGAATACTGTGACTCTAATTCAGTAGGGATCAGGGATATAAATGTCACCTGCATTTGGAAGACTCACAAATGCCAAAGTGCTTTTCTGCATCAGGGCAGATCACAGGTAATTACACTGCAGTGTCCATAGTATTGTAAGGCCTTTTGCTGTTTTTGCTGCAGTTTGGATGCACTTACATATGTAAAAGGACCTTTTCTATGAGCCTCAAAGCCACAACTATTTTCAAGTGCTTCATCTACTCATTCTACATATTCTTGTACATGCTTTGAAAAGTACCTTCACATACACTCTAAAGAAGGTCTGTATGCAGAATATCTAGTGATGTGCTTTGTCAGGATATCCCAGTTACTGAGGGTCTAAGCTGGCCCTAATACCAAAGGGTCTTTGGCCACAGGTTTGACCTTGCTGGGCCACCTGTTACTTCACCACAGGGCTGCCATGTTTGGAACTGCTCATCTTTGGTTCCAATGAAAATACCAGCCCAGTACACTCTTCTGTCTCTCTAATTGTAGATCTAAACTCTACATGAGCAAGGTTGGATTGTAACAACATTTGACCCATCACTACTGCACTTTACAAGCTTGTGATTGTCAGCCACAAACTGCTTTTGGCAGTTTACAGATAGGCACTTTTCCCTGCCCAGAGCAGAGAAAGATTCTCTTCATTTTTTGTCTAAGGATGTCCATAAGATATTTCTATGAATACTTATACTGTCTGCAGTTCTTTCATTTTTAATATTCTTCCTATAGAGAGTGGGACCTATATTACTGAAGACTAGACTGAAGATTCAAGTATCAGTTACAGCAGAAAGGCAAAAGCAAATTAACAAGGTATTGAAGTGAGCAGGACTTGAAACTATAAACTGATTTGGCATGCTCAGAAAACAAGAAAGCTGTTCTGCATTTTTGCTAAGCTCTTTTAACTACACCTCTTCGGCATCCTAAAGTCAATTCATAACTGAGCTATGACTTATTATTTCGATTTTCCTCTGTACCAAGAACCTTGTTTTATACCATCATGTCTTAAATGCCACCTAAAATGCAAGTTATCACTACACTTTCACATTAGGTTTTGTTCCAATGTTACTTGCATTTATTTTCACCCCATGATGAAGCTTATAAATAGCAGTGTTATGGGCAGATAAAGCTTCAGGGAAGATGTAACCCAAAGCAGAACCTTGGTATTCTTTTTGAGTATGGAAAGCCTTAAGAAATGAGTTTTTAGTTTTTAGATGAGTGAGTTTGCAAATATTTGTTCCAATGCAAACAGATTCTTAGCTAAATTAACTAGTTCTTTTCACTGTGTATCCTTCCTTATTTCAAAGTGATCAAGAAGCAACTTTTTACTTTGTTTCCAATATTCTTCTTACAGACTTTTCTTTAAAAGAGTTGTTGAAGCATCATTGTGTGACAGTTCAGCAGCAGCAGCTACAGAAAGTAGGCAAGCCAAGGGAAAAGCGGGACCTTGAGGCTTAGCTTACTTTATAAGAGTTATCAGCCTGATCAGTAATCTGGTCTGTCAGCCACAGTCTTGATCTAGAGCAATCTTTCATTTTAAGATTCAGTTGAGCTTTAAGGAAATGTTGGATTTCATTTCCAACTAAGCTGCCGCAAGTTTTTCTCTGCATTGATAAGTTCGTAGACTACAATTGTACAGTATATGAAATCCCTCAAAGTTAACTCTTTGAATAAAGCAGCTGTCTTTCCTAAATTACTATACAGAACAATTTGTTTTGCATCCAGTTCAGTCTTGCCACTGCCTGATTAAACAGAAAAGTGCTTTAGCAACACTGTGGGTAGGTAGTAATAAGTGAGCAAACTTTACTTCAAGTCTTGCCATTTCCTACATACAACAGTGAAGACAGAAGTTATAATTTTAAAAACTGCACCTAAAGATTACCTGTATCTTTTAGATAGTTTGATCAGCATTTAGTAGGGTTAACATCTAAAGAATTACTCTGATCCTCATGCATACAAGATGAAAAAACATATCAAACTCAGATAATTAAGATCTCCAGAAAGTTTTAAGGGTCTCTGAATTTAAGATACAGTTCTAATCTAAACCAAATATGCCCCATCTTCCTCAGGAGTGAAGCTAGCCTGCACACCACTTCAAACTTTTGCTGAACACTGGAGATTTGACTGTCACTTCCTATATATAATTTTATTTCCTACATTATTATATTCATCCATTCTTATACTAATACTCAAGAGACTAAAAACATGCTTCTATTATGCTCACCTTGGCAGATGTTTCAAACCATCCAACAAAGCCACCTTCTCTGCAGAACTGGTCCATCTGAGAGGGATTCTGGCTGCCATCTTTCTTCTGGTCACACTTGTTTGCAAGAAGAACAGCAGGGATAGGGCTGCCATTCGGAAGCAGTACTTTACTATCCAAATCATGCTTCCATTTTGAAACAGCCTCAAAAGTGGAGCCTCTTGTGACATCAAAGACCACAAAAGCACCAACTGCCTCTTTGTAGTATACTCTAGTCATATTTCCAAAGCGCTCCTGGCCTGAAAGAGAAGACAGGGATCAAGTATATTTATATTGAAGCATGAACTGTATTCAGTGTAAATGGACTACTGTACCAGCTTAGTTCATAACTTTGGCATTTGGGTCTAGTCACCTAGTTCATAAAACACTGCCTCTTTTATCCTATGTAAGCTCATTGTAACAGCCATTATATATATTACACCTGACAAGTCAGGTGCTAAAGGTAGTTTGCAATTCCGACTACCACTTTGAATTTTTTTTAAACTTATTTGTTGAGTAGTGTTCTTTGAGAAGTAATGCCTAAAATCACTACCAGCACAGCTATATACAAATCATTCTTTCATCAAAAAATATCAAGGTTTATATCCAAATATAGTTACTTCGGCTACAGATTTAAGCAAACTCAGCCTTTTGCTGAAGGGTGAGCAACAAGGGTTTCTGCAAGCTTCAAGGCTAACAGCCTTCAAAGCATCTTCTGAAGAAGTCACCTATGTCATAGATTTTTCCTTAGGGACAAGTTCAAAAGGAGCTAGCTTAACAGTTCTAGCTAAATCGGTTATCTTTGACTTCATCTTTTAAGCCTAAGATTTTCTCTGGATCATTTTCCAACTATGGAAGCTCTACAGCAATCCCAGGATTTCAAACAAAATTATTGGAATAGTTAAAGTACGATTAATCACAATGAAAATGCAGAAAAAAAAAAATCAACTGTCAGTGAGTAGAGTAAAAAATGCCTTTTCTTATTAAGTACAACTATTATAGTCAGTATACTTGAAATGTAGAATTAGAGTGTGCCAGTTCAGTTATTCTTCTGTTTGGACAGTCAGACCAAGATGATGTGTTTTTACACTTGAGTGTCTAAAACTTGAGTGTCTATATACTTGAGTGTATACTTGAGTGTCAAGTCCTAGCACGTTGTTTGGGAAGTTTGGGCTACTAAAATAGCTTCCTGTTTTGTTTGGAAGACTTCATTGGGAAAAGTAGTCCCTGCACTTTATGATGTAGGTTTACAGTACATCATGACTTCAGTTTTTATCACTTAGTGGATATGAGGTTTTACAATACATAGAGAAAGTAGGAATTGTATTTGGAAACCTAGTTGTCCTCTGTTTATAAACATTCAAGTCCACCTTTGATTAGCAAAGGCAAACAGATACAAGGAGAACTGGGCGTTATCTTCTCATAAGGAGCCAAAAATTCAATAGGTGAAGGAACTTCACAAGGGATCCTTTTCAGCAGCATGCTTTCCTAGCTCAACTGTCTCATTTTAATGTCAGTACTTCGGTGTATGATTAGCTCATTCCCTACAGACATTTTCTGAAAAGGTTGCCTAAGCAGCTGTTAGAATTGCCTGAAAGCAGCAGCAGCTGCAGTAAATTTCCAGAGAACTGTGAAGAAGCTGACTTGATCTCTGGCTGTTCCCTTTAAAGTATGATGCTGCATAAAACAGCATCAGTAGCCATCATATTCTTCAGAATGGAAATGACACATGAATTGCTTCACTACCAGCTACTTATCCCATATGAGAACAAGCAGCATCCAAGAGGAAAGCTCTTATCTCCCTATTCAAAGCTCAAGTTTTGAGGCAGAATTTATGCCATGGATTCTAAGGCCAGGCACCAAGACTTCATCTCTGAAGCTATGCCACTGGAAGAGCCACATTGCTAATACAAGTCTCCTAAAGAGTGTATACAAGTAACTCACATTGTCTCCCTACGTCTTTCCAGGCTGGACTCTTATGCCTAAAAGGTATTTTTAGTATAGCCTTCCTACAAACTGTTGTACCATGTCACCACAGTTTTCACAAATCAAATACTGTTAGCAAAGAATTAGACCAGAAGGTTTTTACTACTTCTGGAGGCCAATTGTGTCACTTCCAAAGAAGCTTTACCTTTCAATTGTGGGGATTTTGTTTTGTTTTGGGTTTTTTGGGGGTTTTTTTGTTTGTTTTTGGTTTTTTGTTTGTTTGTTTGTTTTTAAATGGAGTCTACACTCACATTTAGTTATATTAAGCCAGTCACTGCATAGGGTACCACATAAGCAATGAGGAGCTCCTTGTAAGCTTCCCTTTTGTTTAGCTGTCAGTCTAACCACCAATTCCTGCCATATGGGAACACTTTGGACTATGCTAAAGTGCTTGAGTCCTGTGTCCAATTCAGGTAGTATATCCCTTCAGATCATAGGACAGACCCACAAAACAAACAAGTGTAATCTCAAGGTCTACAATATTCTGTACCAACTCAGTCTTCTACAGAAAGAGTTCTTCAGCCCTGAAATGGTGCAGAAATGAACACCACTTCCTGTTATTTACATGAGACTGAACATGACTGAAGCAGCAAGAGAAAGAGTCTCATTAGTCATCCCTAATGGAAAGCTGGGGGTCTTATGGTCTTTAATAAAGGCTGTTTTTCCAAAAATCTGCTGAACATTTACATAAGAAAATTAAGTTTTATTGATTAGTTCCAGAAAGGGTTGCTAGACTGTTACTAGCAAGGCGTAGACACAGCACAATCACTACATATGAAAACTAAGTTATTTAGGAATTGCAGAAAAGGTTATCAGGCAGTTACCATTTCTCAGATAGCTGAGCATGCTGTAGGTAAACATGGCTGCAATCAGTTACCACAGTGAAGGACATTACCATTGACTGAATCCCTTCCTGCCCACTGCCCTCCCATCCAAAACAGCTTTAAAGAAACACAGCTAGCAAGGCAACCATACTAGCCTCCTGTAGCAATAACCTTTGCCAAAACACGCACAACAGTGCATTTAAGGTGTACAAAAGAGGTCCAATTAGTACAGCATTACATATAATCTTTCAAAGAAAAAAAGTTACAAAGTATAGCTCACAACCAAACTTGACAAAGTCCTAAACACCACCAAATGGCTTATCCTAGAGAAACACCAGGGGACCTAGCCTTTGCCAGAAACTCTGATCATCACTCAGGTAAGTTTTTCTATTCCATTTCCAAGAAACTCCCAACATTTTACCATAGTCTGTCTTACCCACCCACCTGGCCCAATGCTTTTACACACATTGGGAGCTGCAGAGCTGCACTAACCAAGGTTGCCTGGCAGGTGGTTCCTTGACACTGGTGACTTATGCCCCAGTATCTCCCAGCCTATGTGAAGCTTCAACACCCTGCAATCGTCAGCCAGATATGCTGTACCAGAGAGGCAACAACAGGGTTGCAGCAGAACTACCAATTCAGATCAGCTGAATCCCATCATGGCCTCACCAGGAAAGGCCTCTGTAAATGGAGTTGTGCTGCTAACTTGAAGACTCAGGAATTCTAGAATAATGCAGATGCCTTGTACAAGGTTAGCCTCATACAGTGGTTTTTCTCAATGTGTAAGACGGCAGTTCCAGTAAGAATGCAAGCCTGCGGGGATGTTACTTTGTTCTGGACAGCTGAAGCCCATGGTCTCTAAAGTGGCTGCTATAGAGTACAGTCATTTAAGTATTATTTCCAGCAGGCTTTATTGATAGAATTTAAAACTCTTACAGTACTCTCTTACAGTTTTAGATTTGGAAAAACATTAATACATATTTTTCCACAATTTTAATTTGAGTGAAAGTAGAAAACTTACATGCACTATCAGCATGAAAGTTTCTATCTTTACTTATAAGACTTAAGCTTTATGTTAGAAGGATTTAATATCTCCCTTAAACACACACAAGCTCAATATCATTGTATTTTTAGAGATAAATACCTTTTAATAGGTCAAATATGGCCCAGTATGAGTGCTGCCTTTTCTAAAGTAACCCAAACTCCAAACCAGTTTATTACAGAGCTGTTTTCACCTCTAGAATTCATCCACTAGCAAGAAATCTGACCTGAATACTAGCTTACAACTGCTTTTCCATCCTGTCTGGAGGCCTAATGAGGATGGATATACCCAATTTCATAGAAAGAAGACAGAAACAAGAGGTAAGAATTTTGTTTGGTAAAAGGTATATGGCATGAGGCAGGAAGAGAATTCCATTTAAACTAAGTGGAATTTCTTTACAATCCTGTCCCTACTGACAATGCACACGCTAAGCTTCTTGTAGGGGGATGAAGAGTATTCAAGACCGCCTTTTGAAAATTTAACAGGACTTTCAGGCAGAGCTTTTGCGAGTGCTTTTCTGCTTGCAAAAAAAACAAAAACAAAAAAAAAAACCAACAAACAAACCTCATACAGAAAAAGCAAACTGTAGAACACACTACTCCTCCAAAGTCAAGTCTGATCATCATTCTCTTTGTTCTTAAAACTAAATGTCTCAATTTCTGCCATGCACAGTTCAGAGATTTGTCATGCCCCTTCCTATGTTCAGCAGGATGTTTGCTGTACTCATTTCACTATGTGTGACAATAGTCTTGAGCAATGCAGAAAGAGGATCATACTCCCAGAGGAGAAAAAGGCTAAAATTGATCAGATTAAACTAGACTTAAAATCTCCAGTGTGTATAAACTTGGAAAGAAGAGGGCAGGAAGAAAACTACTTGCTTACTACAACAGTATAGAAAGGACATCACAAGACCAACTATTCCAGTAAGTCTACTGCCTTGACATAAACCTGATGGTACCATAAAGATATACTTTGTGTTTTAGGGATTCAGGTATAAATGAGGATCTAAGCTACAGGACAGTCACAGGGATCAGCAGTTTTATTCAGGGGTGTGGAAGTGACTGCATGCAATGCAAAGTTCTGCATTCTCAACGACAAAATTTTCACATCTAAATGACTCTGCACATATTGTCACCATATTGTCCAGTAATTGCAACAACCTTAAGTGAAATGCTTGCACAATGGCATACACCAGGAACTAATACAGTTGCCTACAGCAACACTACAGGAATAAAGTTGAGTTTAGAACTGTATCAGAATTTGGGAGCTATTATTACTCTCCAGTTTACACTGTAATGGGGAGTGAACTGTAAGTTAAAAACTACATGAAAAAAATATGGCCAGGTTTGAAACTTTATCTTTGTCTCTTACTTCACAGCAAAAGATAAGTTACCACTGTAAAAGTCAAAAAGAGTATCAACCTTGCCTTGAAGTGCATTTTAAAGAGTTTCTACAGCAATCTTTCCCAGTGCAAGGGAGAAACAATAGTGTCCTATTTATTACAGAAGTGACTTATTGTTGCAGTTGTTTCCTATAGTTAACAAAATATACCCTACAATCATACCATTATTTCTGCTCTTAATTCTTCCTACATGATGGGAATCAGGGCTAGTAAAAGCAATTTAAATGTAAAAGTGACTGTTCAATATGCACAATATTGAGTTTGTCAGGGTCCCTTCTCCTAAATTACTTACTATATCTGTAAATCTTAATATGTAGTTTATATGAACTAACAGAACTTATTCAAAGAGCATAAAAGGGCCTATCCAGAAGAAGCTTCCCCAGCTATTATTTTTGTTATGAAGGTGACTGTTGCTTTACCTCTGTCAATACCAACAGTATAGCAAGAGTCCCCCTACCTTGTAAAAATCTAAACTTAGTCTTGTCTGAAGCCACACAACTCAAAACAGAGTTGTTTTAGTTGCATTTAAACTCTTAATATCCAGAATACCGATGGACAACTGGACAAAGCTCTTCAAAGTTCTTCTCTCACAGATGTGACTAATAGTTTTGGAATCCTCCAGAAGCTGTTTCATTAATGAGGAAGAAAAAGATGACCAAGGGTTATAAAACCCTGAAAACTGGAAAAATTATGGAACAAATAGTTTTTTTTCATTGAAGTAACATTAGTTCAAGTCATCTTTAACAAGCTAATCAGCTTAATGGGTAGCCAGAGCTCAAAATATGATTTTAACAAGTTTGGCAATTCCACATCAAATAATCTGAAACCACACAGGTATAGTCTAGACTACGTTCCCCCGGAAGTCAATATACAACTACCTGAAGAGTTTTACTCCAAAGTTGTTTGCTGCTGTATTGACCACTGCAATGAAGTTTTGAATTTTTTCCTAGACCCATAATACAGAGTTGCCAAAAGTCTCATAAACAGCAAAAAGTCCTTAGTTTATAAATAAAGTCAAACAGCTCTCACCAATTTTATCCTTCAGAATACTGAAGATGAGAATTCAAATAGTTGAAAAGGCAAGAAAAGGAAGAAAGAAGGAATCTGCCACACAGGAAAAGTTTTATCTATAAAACAAAGGCAAAACCCCCCAAAACTCTCCAGCAATACTGCACCAGTAAAGAAAATAAGCAGCAGATCTAGTGAACCAAATTCAGTTAGATCAAAATGCATAGAAGTATTATCCTGCTAGTGCATTTCACTCATTCTGCTTTTTTATCAGCAGTTACTATACATTGCAGTGAACAGGATGCTTATTAAGCTATAGTGACTTGTTGTAATAAACCATTTTTAAGTCTGGACATACTTAAACATTCTCCTTCGATTGTGTGAGGGGTTCTTAGATCAACTATTTAGCATGACCACTAATCATCACTCATACCAAAATTCAAGAAGGGTCACTAGAGACAGACTAACTTTAATTTGACTGCCAAAACCATGGGTCTTAGGTCCTTGCTATCAACTAATCTGACCTTATTGGCCACGCAGCATACAAGCACAGTGCTAGTATCTGGGCTTCAGTGCCAAACTCCACAAGTTAATATTTTCAGTCAATTTTCAGGACCATGAGACATTTGTGCTTTTATTCAACCTAGACAGTAAAAAAAGCATAACTGAACAATGAGTGAAACCCCTTTTTTTTTTCTAGGAACAGCTGAGTTGCATTGCCTCGTTTACTATTCCAACTCTCAAATAACATCATTCAGTGCAACTGATTTTAGCTAAAGCACCATCCAAAACAACTAGGCACATAGACCAATCATCTCACTGAGTTAGAACCATCATCACTTTCGAAACTCACTTAAGCCCTTAGGAGCTACACACAAGAAGAGACCACACTTTGGATGCCAGCTGGATGTTTGGCACAATACAGTAAATATCCAGAACTGCCCTGAGAATGCATCTCCTAGTTCTTCAAACATCTAATGTACATTTGAGCATCACCAGGATCAGGAGTGAGCTGACCAAGGTTCCTTTCTAGAGCAATATATAAACATGTTACTGGCAGGTTACCATTGCTGACAGCCTTCCTCCATCTCTCCAAACCAGCACAGCTTGTCCCAGAACTGTCTTACCTAATTGGATTGGATCTGTTATTCTGCAAGAAGTAGGTTAACCAAACCACTATCAATATTACCGCTCACATTCAAGTGTGTCTACCTGCTTTTTCCCATGGATAGCAGCCATAGATTGAGAGTAGGCAGATTCCAAGAGTGTCAGTCCTAGATGGCTCTCCACTCCTCACTCTTACCCATCTCAGCTATTAGTGCAAAGTTGCCATATGTTAAAACCAGAGGTGTTGAACAACACATTTATCTAATGACATAGACAAAGGGATTGAGTGCACACTCAGTAAACGTGCAGATGCCACCAAGCTGAGTGGTGCTGTTGACACACCTGAAGGATGGGATGCCATTCAGTGGGACCTGGACAAGCTTGAGAAGTGGGCCCATGGGAATCGCATGAGGTTTAACTAGACCAAGTGCAAGGTGCTGCACCTCGGTCAGGGCAACCCCCAGTATCAATACAGGCTGGGGGATGAACAGATTGAGAGCAGCCCTGGGGAGAAGGACTTGGGGGTGCTGGTGGATGAGCCAGCAATGTGCACTTGCAGCCCAGAAAGCCAACTGTATTCTGGGCTGCATCAAAAGCAGTGCAGCCAGCAGGTTGAGAGAGGTAATTCTGGCCCTTTACTTTGCCCTTATGATACCCCACATGGAGTATGGCATCCAACAGCAAGAGCACTGCGATGGCAAGTGTTCAGAAGGTAGACACCTGATTTCCACTACAAACTCTGACCACATCTATCATCCTAATAGAAAAAGCATAATATTCTCTCTCACAAAGACAGAATGTCCTCCTCCAGCAATTGCACAGATCTTACAGGGAATTTTAACTGATAAACTTTTCATTGCTGCCCATAGCCTTGGGCTAATCTAATGATTTAATTGTCCAAACTGAGTTTAGCACCTTACTATCTTGTCTTTAAGAAGTTTAGAGGCAATACCCTGCATTTACAGTTCAGTGGGTTTTGTCCAACATCAAGCATATAATATACAGCAGTATGACAGTCATATTTGTACAAGAGAGTTCCACCTATTTTGCTTGCATCTCTGCTAAACAGCAAGCAAGAGAGAAAGTCCCTGTTTAAGCCCTAGATTTCCATCCCCAGAAGAGCAGAGTTCAACCAAGCTAAATGATTTCTAACTAGCTGTCAAATGCAGCATGTATGGAACAATTCTCCTTGCACTAGTATCAAAAAAAGTTGACATAGTCCAATTAGTGCCAGTAACAGCATGAATTCGTACTTCCTACATTGCTTTAACAAGCCTTGCCCAAACAAGTCATGGCCAGGGTTAAACTATTTCCTGCCCAACACCTTCTAATCCATATCCTTTGATGCACTGTCATGCAGCCAGAGCTGCACTGTGTACTTAACGGTGATGCTACATGGCACTACAGCATTACACAGGAGAACAATTCTAAAGTCAGTTTGTCTCAAGAACAACTTTATCACGAGATTGAAAAAATGTTAATCTCTAAAATGGTCAATGTGTCATGGCACATTGTGTGTGATTGGAATTTTGTATCAAATAGCTGCCACTTTACCCAGTACTCTAGTCAAGGAGCATTTAAAGAACAAGTTCCCATAACCTGTTTGCAGTGACATTCAGAGGCTGCTTTTAAATCTATTATTTGAAAAGCTTCTAAAATCCATACAATAAGGAATATTGGTTTTCATTACCTGCTAATGTAGAAGACACTGCTACTGAAAGTTTGCCAGCCTTCTAGACAGAGTTCAGGCATTTATTTCTAAAAAAACCTCTATAAATCCCTGAAATTCCATCATTTTTCAAAATGTAATATTTCTGTGTTTCCATAGCCAGATGAGAACTTTGAACACTGAGCATTCTGCCACAGGCTGCTTGAGAAGCATGCTGTGCTTTGTAGTCACTGCTTACTGCTTCTCACATTACATGTGCAAGAATTTCACAAGAGATATTGTGATGCTTTCATGCAAAAATATAAATAGAAATTCCCTTACTGCAAATCACTTCCTTCTAACATGGCATATCATGGTTGAACTTCTGAAGCAAGTATTTGGAGGGAACTGTTTACAGCAGACTACAAGAGCAAGGCAATGGTTACCACAGGAGTTCATGGATGATCTCTGACAGCTTGAATCTCAGTGGCTGAAGGGAAGAATCTTGGTTTTTTAACAGCATGCTGGAGCCTTTTCTGAAACCAGGCTGCTAGGATTATTTTCTTTCCTGTATTTCATAGGTAATCAGTTGAGAACTATCACTTTACAGCACTTGCAAACTCATTGTAGTCGTGGCTACGCACTTCAGTAACACCCTGTCCTAGTGTGCATACAAAGAATATCAAACTGGTAAGAGGCAAAGTGGAGATGTAAATAAGGTAAAGCACCAAGACTCTGAAGCTACAACACTGATGCAAGGAGAGTTGATAAAGCTTGATTTACATTCATGTAAACTCCATGCATTAAAAAAAAGTATATATTCAATATTGTCTATACCAGTTTGTCTCTGAAGGATAATGTGCTTGACTTGTCAAGCCAGCTTAATTTCTGACTACTTGAGTCAGTATTACATGAAAGGCAAGAATTTAGCTAATACTTGCCTCAGAAAAGCTTATGATCCACATAAGAATTATTTCTGCAAAGCTTTCTAGTTTGTTTTATAACTGAATACAAAAAATTAGTTATGTTGTGTGATATATACTATTTTCCCTCCTGTCTACTGTATTGCACATAAGAATTTAAGGTAGCCCCTCCACCATTTGAGCGGTACAAATTTGAGGTACACCCATCCATCCTTTATTCTCCGTATCAGAGTATTAGCAAAGCATTTTTATTGTGATCTTGTAAAAAGCACAAAGCTTCTGAGCAACTGCTGTGAAGTGAACCTTTGCTATTTGGAAATAAGGCTGAAGCACCATCTATCCCATAGAGTTAGCTCAAGCATGAAGTTCCTTTTTCATCATTGACAGAAACTAAGAGTACCTGCATGACAAATACTCTGAACTTTCTTTTAAGCCTGCAATAGATCACATGGTCTTCTTGAATCACATCTTTAGTCCCATTTCTTGTAGAACACGTAGAAAACCCTATGAGGAAGTTCTAAGCTTATTTCCAAGACACTCTAAGAACATCTGTCTCAATTCTACCATTTAACTGTAAGTTAACTGAACAGTCCTGCCTTGCATAATCAAAATTACCATACGAAACTACCTTACAACACCAACTTCACCACAGCAGCACTTCCCACATGCTTATGGAATTCCATCAGCACACTGGCTTAAAGTTTAACTCAAGACAACATACACAGTACTTGGAGTTCCTACATAGCATAGTACTAAGCAAAAGAACCTTCACTGATATGATTTGGTACCCCACTGATAAAACACAAAAAGCCCTTCATCAGCAAGACCAATAACTATACCTCACTTGAGAGCATTTAATTAAAAGTGCACCTAAACAGAGGAATTCCTGAAAAAGAAAACATCCAAAATCTGTTTGTATTTAAGGATGTCTAAAAGCTGGAAACAGACCAAAAAACCCCCAAGTTTAAACATGTTCAGCATTTATTTGGATACTTTGCTGTAGAGCTCCAAGCACAGCCAGTCATTCTCAACTGATTTCTCATAACCCTAATCCAGCTATTCCAGAAGAGCCATAAGAAAGAACACCCACACAAGATTTCCCACAGAGGGGTGGTTTCTACATGGAAACATTCAGTACACCTTCGGTTCTGTTTCTTGCCTCTACTGCTTCTATGTCGGTGTTCAAAATCTTTCAACATGATCAGGCCTTCTACTTCCCCTCCTCAAACTTTATCTTCTAGTCTTGCATGTTTCCAGCCAACATCATCTTTACATAAATTTTCTCTTATGAGATTTATATTTAAACATGTGTGAACAGGAAGCATTCAGAAATTAAGTTACAAGTCTTTCATGTCTTCTTCATGAGTCTGTAGACAGTCACATAAAAGATTCTCCAACCCTGACTGGGAGTTTTCTGACCTGCATCATCTGTTAGCAAAATGACAGCACTCCCATCTCTACATGAAGGCAGCTGCACCTGGAACCTTCATCACCATATAAACTAGGAAATAACCTCAGAGAAAACTTACCAGTTTCTGAAAAAGGTTGGCACTCCAAGTTCCGCATACATTTTTCATGCAGTCATCTATGTGCATGTTTTTCACTCATAACATATCTTTATAAGTGAGGAAAAGCTCCCCCACAGTTGGGGCCAGGTTATGTGTGGATTGTCCTGCCTCCACCCTGTGCTCACTTGTACTAGGCACACAGCTAAGCAATATTTTTCATGGTTTCTTTGCAGGAGTTGCCATTTGAATCCCTTCAAAATGTGTTGCGGGTAAGGACAAGTTGTTACAAGAATACCTTGACTACCTTCAGAGACTGCTGCCTCCAAGCTATTCATACTTGAGAGAAACTCCTTTGCAAAGCAAATGAAGAGTATATGTCTCTATGGCACAAAACCGTGTATGGATAAGAAATGGCAGAAGTTTTCTGGTTGCTCCCTATAGACATTCAGGGATGCATTAATGTCACTTAAGGCTTATTTTAGACCTTACTTAAAAAATAAGTTAAATCAGTCCATAATTCAAAAAATAAGTTAATGACCTGGTACATAGAAGCAACTTGGCAGCTTTATGACATGCCAGTGGCACAAAAGCAGACAGAGAATAACTGGAATATAGAGCTGCTTGAAACTAAGGGTTTTCACATGGAGGTACACTATCTCACATACTGGGACAGCCTGAATGTCTTTGAAAGTCAACCACATCCATGGTTTCCTGAACTCTTTCCCATTTCTCATGGCTTCCTATAGATAAGAGCAAGTAAACTTTTTAAATAACTTAGAAGTTTAACATCAACTCACATATCTAACACTCATTTGTGAGTGTTAGAAAAGATGGGTTCTTTCAGCTCTTCAACTTAGTATTCAGCCAAAATATTTTGTCTGATTTCTCCATCCTCTTGGGGACTGGTATATACCTTTAGTTAGAGTTCAGATCTTCTCAAGGAGACCAACAAGGTTTTCGTAACAAATTTGCATGCTACAAGTCTTATCATTCAACTCCTGAAAGCATGTAGAGCAAATTTAGAACACCAAAGTACAATAACTCCTCTTCTGTTTGGCCTATTTCATAGCCACACTCTTCCACTTAAAACATTACTTCATTTTAAATAAATATTTTTACAAGGAAATTCTAATACAGTCCTGGAAGAAGGATGCTATTACACTGAAGTTAATTCAGAATTGCTCAGCCAAAGCTTTAAAAATCAAATTTGTCTACCAGTTGCCATTAGTGTCATCCTTCATGAGAAGCCAAGCTCAAGTGGTCATCTATGATCTTTACCACTCCTGCCGTCCAGCAATTTGCATGTTCATACAGGCTGACGTGAGTGACAGTGATAGTCAATGTGATCAGAAAGCAGCAGCTAACGCTACTCAGTTGCTGGTTTCATTAGATCAGATCAAAAGTTTCTATGATATCGAAAATCCTTGAAGTGTTCTCTCAGTATCATCTGACTAAGTGTCATCAATATGCTAGATACACCTCCTGACCACATTGTGGTCAGTGCAGTATGCTCATTAACACAGCATGTTTGTCAAGTAGCAATCTCTAATGTATTGAAACAGACTATAAAAGCACTTCCCTATCATTAAGATTTCTTTTTTTGCATCTCTTTACCACAATGACTCATTCCTGTGTCCTATTTATTTTGCCAGTCATTTATGCCCTTTGATCAAGGTGGTTAACCTGGTTCTAACACTTTCAGAATTTATCCAGAAAGAGAAATTGATCACTACTTCACACATCAAGATTAAAAAAAAAAAAATATAACAACCAAACAAAACACCCAGGAGCAATGCCTAAGGGCAGCTAAGGTTTAGAAGCTTTGCTCCTGTATGAACATGCATGTAATCTGTCCAGCTTTTTTCAGAATACTTCATGCTGTAACCAAGATAATTTGACTCCCAAGCTTTTTCATGTCCTTTATTCAAGAAGTTACAATTGGTGTCTAAAAACTAAAATGCGTGAGTAACTCTGAAATACATAAGTCTATGCACAACAGCACGCTTCCTCCCCCTTCATCATTTCACATCTCCTCTCCTTTGATGCTGCTGCAAAAATTTGCATTAGTTTGTACCTCACAACAAGGTGACTATTTTCAGAAGAAAAAAAATAGCATAGGCAGTGTACAATTGTCATGCTCCATTTGATAGAATTATCACTAAAAAAAAACCCAAAACCAAAACAAACCCTCAGCTAGCACAAGAATTTGAAGTCACCCAGGAACCTGCTGCATTGCAATACACAGCGCAACATAGCACAGTATCAGCATTATGGTCTTAAGCTGATGAATGAACTACATAGTCAGTTCTCAGCATTGACTTAAGTACAAAGTCTTAGATTGCTCCACCCAGGTCTTTAAGGAGACCTTTTTATGATGAACTGTTAATGTACACTGATCTAGTGAAAAATAAGCACAGAATCATAGAATCGACCGTGTTGGAAAAGACCTCCGAGATCATAAAGTCCAACCCTTGATCCAATACCACCGTGGTTACTAGACCATGGCACTAAGTGTCACATCCAGTCTCATCTTAAAAGCCTCCAGGGACAGTGAATCCACCACCTCCCTAGGCAGCCCATTCCAATGCCTGATTCCCCTCTCTGTAAAAAATTTCTTCCTAATATCCAACCTAAACCTCCTCTGGCACAGCTTAAGATCATGCCCTCTTGTCCTACTGCTGGTTGCCTGGGAGAAAAAACCAATGTCCACCTGGCTACAACCTCCTTTCAGGTAGTCGTAGAGAGTGGTGAGGTCTCCCCTGAGCCTCCTCCAGGCTAAGCATCCCCAGCTCCCCCAGCCTCTCCTCACAGGACTTGTGCTCTAGTCTCTTCACCAGCCTTGTTGCCCTTCTCTGGACCTGCTCCAGCACCTCAATATCCTTCCTGAACTGAGGGGTCCAGAACTCAAACCAGGGAGGGCCAATTTCAAACTATGACAACCCAGTACTCCAGGTGTGGTCTCACCAGCACTGAGTACAGGGGAAGAATCACTTCCCTGGTCCTGCTGGCCACACTGTTCCTGATACAGGCCAGGATGCCACTGATACAGGCCAGGATGCCATTGGCCGCCTTAGCCACCTGGGCACACTGCTGGCTCATGTGATCTCTCTTTCTATGCGTAAGGGTTAGATTTTGATTCAGAAGCCTTTCTAAATGCATCAAAATCAACTCAGAATGCCAGCACCATATTGCTTGCAGGGAAGTCACATGTAACATTACTTACCATAAGATTCAGATCTCTTCAAGAGATCTAAAGCTGTTTGTCTGCACACACCAAAAGACAAAATTATCTACGTGAGCTGTTGAAAGCCAGAAGATGGCTGGGCTGATGAGTTAAAAGGGAATGACTATCACATGCTCAGGCACTGTGCTACACACTTCAATAAAGTGCTTTAGAGAATATGTTCTATGACTATATAGAAGCCAACTTCAACTTGTTTTTTTAACTAATAACTTCAATATAAATCTGCTGACATCTTCAGGTGTTTGGAAATATTCCTGATTGTATATATAAACAGTTGCAGAACACAATCCCAGGCTGAGGACTCCAGCAGTTTTAAGACCATCAAATAACTCTTACGGATATTAAAAGACTCTTTATTTTAATTATTAACTCTGAGATGTCAAGTGCTATAGGAGTCCGAATTGTCACTCTCACGCTGGCTAAGCATGTGCTAATCAAAAATGATTAAGTCTAAGATTACTTCCCTTCTTGGTCTTATTTTTTTTATTGGGGAAAGAACTCTCAGCCCCTTGAAAACAGAATAGCCTGAACTACCAGATTAGACTAAGAGTTTGGAGTGCAAATTGCAAAACAGTGGTATCTTCCCATTTTTGCTAGGGAAAGACTAGCCAGGAGTTTCATACAAAAGTACTATGAAATAAGAAAAATATTTCAGTGACAGGAAAAAAAATTAATTCTTCAATCTATCAGAAATATTAGCACAAGCTCCCAGGGATTAATTAGAAGCTCTTAACTCAGTCTTCACCTATAAGTGTCAAAAACACACTAAGGGCAATAATCAAGAGTGAAAAATACTGTCTTCTGGATCTTGAAATTAACACATGGATATATTGATAGAACTTCCCAAAATGTAAATAGGTTCTGTCCAAACTTTGTTACAAGTTACAGCTAAGTTTCTGCCTATCCTGTTGAAATGGGTTGCTTTGGAAAAACATACAGCCTGCCCCAGTCTCAGTGACTAAGGACTGAAAAGAAGTCAAATGCAAGCATGGCAGCCTGCCAAACCCCAGGATCCTGACAGCCTCCCTTCTTCTATCTTTGGAACCCCAGACTTGCTAAAATATACCCAGGGGATTGCAGCAGCTTGTATAGATACTGTTAATTGATTTATAGAAAGTTAAAGCTGATCCACAAAAGGAACACATCAGAAGAGAAAGCTTGCCAACATTTTACATGCTCTTCAAAACAGCAATTAGAAAATATTTTCATTGGCCCTACAGGCCAGCAGCAGAAAGATACATGGGGTGTTTCGGCATATGGCAGTAAGAAGCAGGCTTTTTAGTCTGAGGAATCACATTTGTAGTGTTTTAGAGCAGAAAGAAGAGAAGCTGATGTACAGCTGGTCTGCCACAGGGCTACAGTAGCCACACATTACACTTCCTCATTTCTGAGCTTCCACTGATAAAGCATGGAGTTAATGGAAACAGTAACTACCAGTTTTTTTTCCTTGTGCCTTCCAGTAGCATAAGTTTAAACACCAGGATTTCAAATACATTTTCATATCCAAAACTGGATATATTCTGAACATGGCAGACACAGATAGAGAGAGCTGCAGGTTAACATCTGGGCTGCACACAAAACTAGAAATACAATACCAACCAAGGTGATTAAGGAGCTGACAGGACAGACTTCTTACAAGGCCACAGCAAAACAGAGATTGTTCTGTGGCATTTAACACTGCAGCATAAGAAAAGTTAACCATGGTAGGTATACAGTTGGAATCTTTGAAACGGAGGTGTTAAAGAACAGTTCTGAACTACATAGAGGAAAGGAATGATGCACAGTTTGCCCAAGTGAACAGGGCTTTTCTGCTTCCACATGCTCAAAGTACCTTTCTAATACACAAACTCATTATTTGAATGTAGAGCTAAGCATAACAGAAGTTCCATTCCCTCACTCCACGTTTCAGGGATGTAAGTTACTTTTATATCAAGGAGGTGGCTCCAAACACACAAAGTTTAGCATACTTCTTTTGAGGACAATTTTAGCTATTTGAGTTACCTTTAACCTGTAAAGCATGCTTACTAAACAAAACCTACTTGGACAAGATATTTATTTCTTTTAGATTAATTACAGAACCTTAACCATGAATTGATTTCAGCAGTAGCCATAACCAAGGCCACCAGCGCCCAGACAAGCAGGTCGGGAAGAGCAATATGAGCAGGAACCCTCTGGGAGCTGTGGATCCGGCAGTCAGAGCAAAACAGCTGCTTCAGGACCGCTACAAAACCCCGGGCCAAGCCAAGAGCCCCACAACGTCAGTTAACAGGAGCACACAGAGCCGCTAAAAAGCTAAAAACTTCACTCCCGCGTCAAGACCTCCCTCTACTTATGCCTCAAAGGCAGGCAAGAGAGGTTGCATGTAACAGGGGGAAGGAGAAAAACAAGAAGGCAGATTTCACTGTCAAAATACACTTTTCTCCGCAGAGGCCGTGACCCGGGCCCCCGACAGTCAGGTTCACAGCACCCTCGGGGCTCACCCTGCAGGGAGAAGCCCGCCTCGTCCCGTACCTGCTATATCCCAGAGCTGCAACCGCACCAGGGTCTTGCTGTCCCAATTGATGACTTTGAGCGCGAAATCCACGCCGATAGTGGCCCGGTAGTGCTGGGAGAAGAGCTGGTGCACGTACCGCTTGATAATGCTGGTTTTCCCCACACCCAGCTCCCCGATCACCAGCACCTTGAAGAGGTGCTCCCGACACTCCGGCACGCCGGAGCCCGCTCCTTCCCCCCCGGCCATCCTCGGCCCTCCCTCCCGTGGAGCGCGGCGGAGAGGCCGGGCTGCCGGAGCCGCGGCTCTCCCGCTTCTAAACTTTCCCAGTTAGCAACTTTCCTCCAACTTTCACCAGGCGGCTCCCCGCAGGGCCGGCCCTCCCCGGGCGGGGGAAGACGGAGCGGGACAGAGGGAGGAAGGAAAAAGTGAACCCCAACCACCACCTGACTGCAGTCACAGGACGCGGAAACTCCGCGGGCTTATACCAGCCCGGGGGAGGGCGGCGGGGAGGGGCAGGGGGCGGACCAGGCCCGCCCCGCCACTCCGGGATACCGGGTGGGAATAGGGGCACAGCACGGCCGGAGTAGGTTTGCGTGTCTCCCAGAAGCTGCTTCGGCTCCACGTTCTCCAGAGCGCTCGGGGAGAGCGGAGCGGGGTTGCGGCCGTAGCGGGAGCTGAGCCTCGAAAGAGGGCTCAGACCAGCGAAGTTTCAGCTCCCTACCGGTGTCATCCTCTGCCTCCTTCTAGTGCTGGTGGCAGCGAAGTTTTCTCCCGATGAAGTCTCTGAAAACACTCGGGTTTTCTCCCCAGCGTTCGGCAAAGCGTGTTATGACAGAGAGGTCCGTGGGACAAAAAGGGGCTTTATCAGGATGCGTGGCAAGTGGAGGGTTCCAGTGACCCATGCTGGCACCCCGTCGCCTCTCCATTACCAGAGGCTGGCTAGGGGCCCTGTGGGTGCAGGGTGTTGCACCCCAGCCACCTCCCTGAGCTCGCAGGCCCTGCAGTAAGGCCTGGGACTGGGCATGGGAAGGGTGGTGCTGAGCTCGCCCTGTGCAAACAGGCAGCAGTGACGTAGCGTTGTGCACTCAGGCAACCAGGTAGAAATCACCTGCTCATCTGCAGGACTCCTATTAAACCCATTGAGCACCTACAGCTAAAATTGTTCCCCTCTAGTTCCTAAACTGATCTAGTAAAATACTTTTTATCACTCTCTGGTTGTTTTAAAAATTATACCAGACAATCATAGAATCACAGAATGGCCTGGGTTGGAAGGAACCTTAAAGATCATCTCATTCCAACCCCACCACCATGGGCAGGAATACGTTCCACTAGGCCAGGTTGCTCAAAGCCTCGTCCCAGCTGGCCTTGAACACTTCCAGGGATGGGGCATCCACAGCTTCTCTGAAACAGACACGTTGTTAGAACCCAAAATAAAATAAGTTTCCTGTCCTTAGGACTATGCAGTACCATGTGTGCAGATTGTAGGTGCCAGGAAAAAAATATCTTTACTAACATACTCTCCAAATGAAACACACAACCCCAGGTGTTTGTGCTTGCAATAAAAGGATGAAGTTGTGTGGCTACGTGGTATTGTCTCCATGCTGTAATATTTGTTTATCATATAAATACTTTAACAGAACTATTTTGTGCTGGAGAACAATGACAGCCACTCCAAAATGGAAATATTATGTGGTTGTCTGCTCAGCATGTGTGCACACAGGCTGGAAAGCCAAGCGAAGATCTGACTAGCAGTGAAGTAATGCCTCCAAGGGGAAGAAAGTAGTGGTTAAAATATATGGTAACTGATCTGTCAAGCAATCATCAGTTACTCCTGATACCACAGGAGTTTATTCCGTATGCTAATTTCTTTGCTATGCTTTAAATCAATGGCTTCAGTAAAATGATCCAAACTTCTTCAGATGGCTTGGAGAATACTTACTTCCATGTCATACAAAGATGGTGTATGCAATGTAGATGGGAGTGGATGAAGATAATAGCTGTTTGGCAAAATAAGGCAAAATAGCTAGCATTCTTGGAGAAAAATTGTGTTTAGTGATTTTGGTTTAATTTTGTTAATTTAAATTGTTATGCTGTATTAACTTCATGATAATTGTTCCGATTAGTGTTTACTTTCCCAGCAGTAATGACGTCAGAATATAAGCTAGGGAAAGTCTGTAACTCAATTTTTTAATTTTTTTTTATGGAGGGTGGCAAGGGTAACACAGGTTCCTGTCAAGAAATGAGACAAAAAAGAGACATTGTCACTAGCTGGGAGGTTGAAGATGAATATGAGACTGTTATTTTATATTAGACTGTATATTATAAAGTGATATTTTAACCACTATGCACTTTGGTAAACCTCTCTAACTGTGTCTAGACTGATATATGTTGGTTTGTGCACTATGGTCCATTCAGACAGGGGATTTGTCTGGCATGCACTGAAGATCTCTGCCCAGACCAGTGCCAAAGTGTCACTCGTCTTGCAAAAAACAAGGAGGGATGGAATTGTCACATGCTTACGTAAGGATGTTGCTGGGATGTAGTATGGATGCTTTCTTCCTCAGGCTTAGATGTAGTCTTTGTGCCTTCATTCTCAACCTGTCACACAGTAATTACTTCCCTCATTCTTTTTTTTTTTCCTTTTTTTTTTTTTTTTTTTGGTAAAAGTATGGGAACACAGATATTCTGGGTTTGGCTGGGAATGGAGTTATCATATAAGACAACTAAATGACCATCTGTACTATTATTAATAAACTGAATACAAGTACTTAAGGATACAAGTTTGATATCAACAACACAAAAGAAGCCTGTAGCTTAATTTTTTTCTCACATACTGATTTTGAGCAGTATGAGCCAACATCAGAACCAAAGAAGTCAATAAAAATCATAACCTATTCATAGAAGAGTCACTAAAAAATGCCAAGGGCAAACTGTGACTGATAATTTGCCATGATTAATAGTTTGATCAGTACTAATTACATTACATCAAGCCAAACATATAGCACTAGATCTTGCCTGAACTAATACTTTGTCTTAATTTCATTAATATTAATTTTGTTCAAGCTGTCTGATATCTGTGTGGAACAGCTTGGAAAAATTCAGTCATTTGCAGTCCTGTCTCTCTGGTGCAGTAAAATCCATCATGTATGAGGTTGTAGAATAATCAACACCCGCCTGGTGCAGGGTAGGTAATCTTCATATTGTGAGCTAAATTTATGTGTCACTTGGTCTTCTACAAGTAATTCTACTTTTTAACTGGCTCCCTTTTGTCAATTGAATGTCAACAAAACCCCCCTATTGAATAAGGGGTGTTGACCTTATGATAAAGTAATTGGGATTACAACATTATATTTTACCTTCAGTTGCCTCCACTGGGAGACCAGGAAAGGGTTATTTTGGGTCATATTAACTAGCTTATCTGGTTGGTTGCCTTTAAATAAGACACCTGCTTCATATTTCAAATAGAAAATAAATCTATTTGGTTTTGGTGTTTTTTTTTTTTTTTTTGTTTCTCTGCACTGGAGGTCTCAGGAATGTGGAAGAGAAAATGTGTATCTTACAAAACAGGCTTTTTATATCCTCTCAACCCAAAGGGTAAAGTTTGATCTGAATAAAAACTATTTATTTTCAACAGTTGCTCTTTGTTGGTATTAGTCAGCCCATCCCTGGGTTCCTTTTGTAAATTATCTATTTATCCACATGTCAGAATATTGGCTTCCAACAGCAGGTTGGTTCAAGGAACCAACTGCTCACTGGAAATGCTTCAGAACTTTTAATAGCCTAATGATCATTACACAACACCAAAGTACTGGTGAAATAGCTTAGCTTGTAAGACAACATTGTAGCTTCCTTTTTTTTTCTGATCCGTAATGTCTTTTGTACCTCTCTTCCTTCAAGACTGCTTCTTCTAATCTTTCACGTTAGTTTCTCCTCCACTTCCTCTACAACACCATTTTGCCTTATCTCCCTTCTATTTTCAGCATACCAACTGTAAGTCTTTAATAGCTTCCCTATTTGCCTTCTTTTTCTTTTTTTACCTCCTATTTTTATTTCCTTTTCCCTTGAATGTTCATCTTCACCTGACCTCAGTTTAGGCCTTTTATTTTTTACTTTCTTTTTCATTCTTTCTTTCTTTCTTTCATACTCAGCTTCCCTCTTCTCCTGAGTTTTTTCTCCTCTGCAGTGAGTGAGAGATTTTTCATGTTTCTACTTGTCAGCCTGTGGACAGCAGCAGGTTCAGCCAGTTAGACCAGGAAAGCCGCAGAAGGCACATTATTGCCTGAAGCAGAGGGATGCATTTCTTTTACTCTTCCCTGTAGATGCATTAGAAGTGAAATTCGTAGCTGAAGGGGTGGTGTGAGCAGCTGAAAAAGTGGAAGAAGTACAAAACATGGGCAATTTCCCTGTGTGCATATGAGGAAGCACAGCTGCTTGGACACTGTGACTGAGCAGATTTGCACGCCATGTTATCTGTCTCCATATGCTTCTCTGATCTGGTGGAGGATGCACAGAACACTTCTTCTGCTCTAATAGTGTTTCCCAAAAGTCAAGGGGAAGGAAAAGGTCTCTACTGTAAAAGAACACTGTCACCACAAACATAGTGTACTGCTGACACAGCATAGGAGACTGAATGCTTTCATTTAACAGTGATTTTTCGAGGGAAATTTCCCAAAGTGCTGCTTTTAGTGATAGTAACATAACAAACAATAGAGACCAAGGTAAGAGTGGAAGGTTGGAGGTCTTTTGGAAAATGCTTCTATGGTCAAGTAAAACACTAGACAACAAAGCATATACACAAGAGGACTGAATTAATGTTACTTGAAATTTATGTATGAGTTTATAGTCTACAAATATATACCTAGATTTTGCCCACAGAAAACGTTCTCCATCAGTTGTATGAGAGCACCCATGAACAGAAAGCCATGATTATACGTTAGTATTAGCCTGCCTGGGGCTGCACTTCCTGCAAAGCAATGTGATACACTGTTGTCTTCTGACCATAAATTTAATTGAATTATGTGGGCTTGAACTTGTAATACATACACAGCCTGCATATAGGACAGTCCTATTGGTACTTGAAAGATGTGGTTGGAGAAATACAGATACTATTTCTGTGTCACTTGTAAAATATATCTTGGGTGCATACATGCAGAACTATTATTAGACAATCAATATATTGAAAAATAAAAAAAAAATAAATTTTTATTAAAGCTGGTAAAATAATGCTGCATACAGTGCAGTAATGAAAGAATTCTTCTGTCTGGAAGAGGAAAAGAAACCAGCCATCTCAAATAATGATGTTTGTCAGGCTCAGGCACATGTCTGGATAGATGCCTGATGATCTCAGACAGAAATCTCTTTCATGAGATCTGATGGTCTTGCATAGACATAGGATAGTCTTCCTCAACTAACTCATCTGTAATCTATGCAAGTAAGTGATGAACTTGGACTGCCATCTTCATATGGCTATCAAGCTTACTT